TGCAACAGTGCCGGCGGCTGCCACACCAGCAGCAGCAGCAACAACACCAGCAGCTGCAGTAACAGCAACAACAGCAGCAGCAACAGCAGCAGCAGCAAAATGCCCGCAACACCAGAAGAAGCAGCAAGGCTGCTTGAAAGCCTCAAGGATGGAAGCGCATCTCTAGAGCAGCTGCAGTCGCTGCTAGAGACACTGCGCATAAACCTACCAAGCCAGGGCGGCAGCAGCAGCAGCAGCAGCAGCAGCGGCGGTGACAGCAGCAATCTTGCGGCCCCAGCAGCAGATTCTGCTGCAGCAGACGCACCAGCCAACCCCAAAGGAGATGCAGGAGACGCAAAGACTGACACAGCAGCAGCAGGAGCAGCAGCAGGAGCAGCAGCAGCACCGGAATCTGGTGGTGTAAGTACAGCTGGAGGCAGCAACAGCAAACAGCCGACCACACCATCTGCAGCGGAGGCTAGCAGCAGCAGCAACAGCAGCAGCAGCAGCAGCACGAGCAACGGCGAAGCAGCAGCAGCAGCAGCAGCAGCAGCAGGCCGCGCGCACTTGGGCCAAATGGATGAAGGGTCTCGCCTTGTAATTCAAAGGGTAGAAGATGATGACTCCCCCCTCATCTCCGCTAAGACATGGTGCGCAGCAGCAGCAACAGCAGCAGCAGCAGCAGCAGCAGTACAGAATGGAATGCTGTGCCTGAGCTGCAGGGCCACTGCATGCGTTGCTGCTGTTGCTGCTGCTGTTGTTGTTGCTGTTGCTGCTGCTGCTGTTGTTGTTGCTGTTGCTGCTGCTGCTGCTGTTTGCAAGAGCGTTCGTGCATGCAGATGTCCCTATGGCTGTCTTCATTTATTTTATCTAAGGGTGTTTCTTATAAAGCTTCCTTTGCTGCTGCTGCTGCTGCTGCTGCACCTGCTGCAGCTGTTTCTGTCGCTGCTTCTGGTGCTGCTGTTTCTGTTGCTGCTTGTGCTGCTGCTGTTTTGTTGCTGTTGCTTTTACCGTTGCTATTTCTGCTGCTATGCGTGCATATGCACACATACATCTGCTGCTGCTGCTGCTGCTGCTGCTGCTGCTGCAGGGAGGAGCTGCAGCTATCAAAAGAGTTGCTGCAAGGAGTGCATGCGTTAGGGTTTAAAGCCCCAGCAAAAATTCAGGCGGCCGCTCTTCCCCTCATCCTGAGACACCGCCAAAACCTCATCGCTCAGGTGCACTAGGGTTTAGGGTTTAGGGTTTAGGGTTTAGGGTTTATTATCATTAGGGTTTAGGGTTTATCATTGTTAGGGTTTATCAGGGTTAATTATTAGGGATTATTATTACTATGGTTTATTATTATTATTAGGGTCTATTATTAGGGTTTATTAGAGTTTATTGTTGGGGTTTAGGGTTTAGGGTTTAGGGTTTAGGGTTTTGAATGCCTTTATATGAATTGAGGTGTATAGGCAGCTGCTTAATTTGTCTCTCAGGCGCAAAACGGCAGCGGGAAGACAGCGACATTCGCCTTAGCTATGTTGTCTTGTGCAGACCCCTCAATTCAGCAGCCGCAGGTATTGCTGCTGCTGCTGCTGCTGCTGCTGCTATTGTTGCTGTTGCTGTTGTTGTTATTGCTGTGGTTGGTGCTGCTTTAGGTGCTGTTGCTGCCTTAGTTGCTGCTGCTGCTGCTGCTTTAGTTGCTGCTGCTGCTGCTGCTTTAGGTGCTGCTGTTGCTGCTGCTATTTGTGCTGCTGTTGCTGCTACTATTCTTGCTGCTGCTGCTATTCTTGCTGCGCTCTAGTTGTTGTTCAGCTGCTGCAGTTTGTGTTGGTGTTCTCTTGATGCTGCATCTGTTTCCTTGTGCGTTGTATCTGCTGCGGATTTCCCTGCTGCTGCTGCTGCTGCTGCTGCTGCTGCTGCTTTTTGTGCTGCAGTCTTTGTGTCTCTGCCCGACTCGAGAGCTGGCGCAGCAAACTGTGAATGTCTTGAAGCAATTGTCGCGCTTTACCCGCCTCACCATCTTCATTGCTGTTCCCCAGTCAAAACCAGGTTCGCTCCTTCCTGCTGCTGTTGCTGCTGCTGCTGCTGCTTGCGCTGCTGCTGCAGGTGTTGCTTCAGGGTTTTTGCAGCTGATTTTGCTTGTGATCCTACTGCTGCTGATGAGGCTGCTGCTGCTGCTGCTTGGGTTGTAGTTTGCTGTTGTTCTTCGGCCTGCTGCTACTGTTGCTTGTGTTGCTCCTGCTGTGTCATATGTTGCTGCTGCTTCTGCTGCTGCTGCTGCTGCTGCCTTGCATGCATGCATGCATGCATGCATGCATGAATCCTTTTTAAATTTTTCTGTTTCTTTTACCACTTCTTTTTACTATAAACATTATTACAACAAATTATTATTATTATTATTATTATTTATTATTTATTATTATTATTATTGTTGTAGGAGAAGCTGTCGGTGCAGCGGGTGGTGATTTGCTGCTGACGAACGAAGAAGGGCGTTTGGCTGTCTTCACTTCAAACACTTCGCCTGATGTTCGCCAGCAGATCGTCGTCGGCACGCCAGGTATCATGCTCTAGCTGCTGCTGCTGCTGCTGCTGCTGCTGATGATGATGATGATGATGATGCTTCGGCTGATGCTGATGCTGCTGATGCGGATGCGGATGCTTAGGGTGCTGCTGTTCATATCCTGCTGATCTACTGTTGCTGTGCTGCTGCTGCTGCTCATCTACTGTTTCTGCTGCTGCTGCTAATCTGCTGCTGCTGCTGCTGCTGCTGCTGCTGCTGCTGCAGGGAAGACGATGGAGTTGCTGAAGAAGCGGCGTCTGAATTCCTCCTTAGTTCGAATGTTTGTCTTAGATGAAGCTGACGAACTTATCAACTTTGCAAACAACATGGCCCCACAGGTACCTCTGCTGCTGCTGTTGCTGCTGCTGCTGCTGCTGCAGCAGCAGCAGCTGCTGCTGCTGCTGTTACTTCCGTGGTTTCACTTTTAAGCGGCGTATTATTTGCTGCTCGCATGCAACAGAGTTTTGCTTGGGGCTGCCTTTCGGGGTTGCAGGTTGATGTGTGTACCCTTAGCAGCAGCAGCAACAGCAACAGCAACAGCAGCCACAGCAGCAGCAGCCAAAGCAGCATCAGCAGCCATATCAGCAGCACCAGCAGCAACACCAGCAGCAGCACCAGCAGCAACAACAGCAGCCACACCAGCAGCAACACCAGCAGCCACACCAGCAGCCACAGCAACAGCCACAGCCGCAGCAGCAGCAGCAGCAGCAGCAGCAGCGTTATTGTTGGGGTGTATGTGCTGCAGGTGCAGCAAATTCGGCGTTTTCTTCCGAGGGATATTCAAATTCTGCTTTTTTCTGCGACATTTTCAGACCCTGTTCGCGAGTTTGCAGACAAATTAATACCCAAAGCAAACAAAATCACTGTGCGTCTTGCTGCTGCTGCTGCTGCTGCTTCTGTTGCTGTTGCTGCGGCTCCTGTTGCTGCTGCATGGGGTGCTGCTGCCGCTGCTGTTGGCGGTTGCTGCTTCATTTGTTTTTTTGTGCTTGTTCAGTGGCTGCTGGTGTTGCTGCTGCTCTTCCTTTTGTATTCTCAGCAACAACAACAACAGCAGCAGCAGCTGCTGCTGCTGTTGCTGCAGTTGTTTTATGTGTTTGTTTATGTGGATGTTGTTTGGGTTGTACGTACAGCTGAAGAGGGAGGAGCTAACCCTATCGTGCATTCAGCAGTTTTATATGATAGCCGATCCAGATGCAGCACCTGCTGCTGCAGCAGCACCTCCTGCAGCTGCTGCTGCTGCTGCTGCTGCTGCTGCTGGTGGTCTTTCTTGGGATTGCTTAGAGGGCCTAGGCGGGGAAGTGCCTTCATATATATCTTTGTCTTCTCCTTTACAGCAGCGAGGTGGAGTAAGTAGAGAACGGCTACAGAGAATCTTTCAAGAGAAATATAAACATTTAAAGACCCTTTATGAAGCACTTGCTGTCGGTCAAAGTGTTATTTTTGTTAATAGTCGTAGGCTGGCCTTCTTCTTGGCTTTGAAACTGCAGAAGGAATTATCTTTCTCTGTCTCTCTTATCTGCGGTAAGCATATATATAATATATATAATATAGTTTATTTATTTATTTAGTTATTTGTTTGTTTATTTGTATATTTTATATAAACAGAAAGGAGCACAACGAAGAGATAGAGACAAGCAGAGACAGATAGACAAAGAAAGGCAGAGAAATATATATAAATATATAAATATATACATATATATAGTATATGTATGCATGTATATGTATATATATGTATATATATAGAGGTACTCATATATACGTATATATATATATATATATATATACGTGCGAATATATAATATATAAAGTATTTATATATTTGTTTGGATGGATGCATGCATGCATGCATGCAGGTTCGCAAGCACAGGGCCCCGAGAAGCTGTCGATAGAAATAAGAGATAAAATAATGGGCGAGTTCCGAAGAGGAGAGACGAAAGTATTAATATGTACAGATGTTTTATCGAGAGGGATAGATGTGCCTCAAGTAACGCTTGTTATAAACTTTGATCTACCTATATATTATCATACAAACCCTTCACATAGACGGGGATGGTCTGGGGGCCCCCCAAGAGGGGGGGGGCCCCCCTATGAGGGCCCTCGAAGAGGTTTCTATGGAGGAGGAGGAGTAAATCAAGATAAATCTTTTAATAATAATAATGCATTTTCGGCAACAAATACGACCTGGGGAGACAGCTGGGAAGCACCTCAAGATAATCAACAAACAGGAGGGGTGGGGGGCCCCCAAGGGGGGGGCCCCGAAGGGTTAGGAGTTAAAGGAGATGATTTGGGTGTATGTGTTAACTTCGAGACATACTTACATCGTATAGGAAGGACAGGCAGGTTTGGTCTTAAGGGTATTGCTGTAAATTTAATTGCTGCTGAAGAGTTATGTTTGTTAGAGCAGATTAAGTCTTTCTATGGCTGTGAGATTAAAGAACTGCCGGGGGACTCTGAAGTAATTGAAAGCATTATCCGAAAGCTTAGAACAGGAGAAAGTTAAAACACAAGGAGACGCCTCTTTACTGTCTCCTTACCCCTGCCTCTTTCTATGTCTCTCTCTGTCTCCTCTCCGTCTCTCTCTATTTTCATATTACCTCCAGAGAAACGCAAATACATACAAGTATCAAGGTGGGAGTTAAAGGGGCCTATCTACAAAGGGGGGCCCCCGTTAGGGGGCCCCCCTTTTCAGATCGTTAGGGGCCCCCCTTTCGGGGCTATGTGGGGCCCCACACGGGGGCCCCTGTCTGGTTCCTGTGGGGCCCCACATGGGGGCCCTTGCCTGGCTCCTGTGGGGCCCCACAGGGGGGCGTCTGTCTGGTTCCTGTGGGGCCCCACATCGGGGCCCCTCTTGGGCCTCTTAGGGCCCCACATGGGGGCCCCTGCCTGGCTCCTTTTGGGGCCCCACATGGGGCCCCTCTTGCGCCTCTTAGGGCCCCACATGGGGGCCCCTGCCTGGCTCCTTTGGGGCCCCACGTGGGGCCCCTCTTGGCCTCTGTGGGGCCCCCTGTTGACCCTGCGGAGGCCTTTGAGGCTGCGAATTAAGTAAGCTGTTTCTCTTTTGATGTGCGGTGTTGTATTTAGAGACAAATAAATAAAGAGACAGATAGAAAAGGAGACAGATAAAAGAGACAGCAGAGACAGAAGAAGAAGGTTAGACAGAGAGAGATATATATAAAGAGATATGCGAGAGACAGGCATTAAATAGATAGACACAAAAACATAAATATTATAAATTATAGAGGTAGACGAAAACAGAAGAAGAGACAGATATATAAACATGCTGGCGGGTAGCCCACAACCTAAATATTAAAAGGAGACTGTCTCCTAAATATTAAAAAGAGACTCTCCCCTAAACACTAAAAAGAGACGGACTGTCTCCTAAATAATAAAAAGAGACTGTCTCCTGGGCCTCGTGTATGCCTAGAGGAGACTGTCTACTAAATAATAAAAAGAGACAGACTGTCTCCTAAATAATAAAAAGAGACTGTCTCCTAAATAATAACTGTCTCCTAAATAATAAAAAGAGACTGTCTCCTACAGACTAACTATGCTAAAAGGAGACTGTCTCCTAAATATTAAAAAGAGACTGTCTCTTGAATACTAAAAGGAGACTGTCTCTGAATTACTAAAAGGAGACTGTCTCCTTAATGCTGTCTCCTACATACTGAGAGGAGGCTGTCTCTTAAATACTAAATACTAAAAGGAGGCTGTCTCTTGAATACTAAAAAGAGACTGTCTCCTGAATGCTAAGAGGAGACTGTCTCCTCAATATTGTCTCCTGAAGATTAAGGGGGGGCTGTCTCTTAAATACTAAAAAGAGGCTGTCTCTTAAATAATAAAAGGAGACTGTCTTTTAACTACTAAAGGGAGGCTGTCTCTGAATTACTAAAAGGAGACTGTCTCCTAAACACTAAAAAGAGACTGTCCCCTAAGTGCTGTCTCCTAAATAATAAAAGGAGACTGTCTCTTAAATGCTAAAAGGGGGCTGTCTCTGAATTACTAAAAGGAGACTGTCTCCTGAGCATCTGTCTCCTACAAGACGGTGTCTTAGATAGCTGTCTCCGAAGCGAGTAAGAGATATTTTAAACCCTAAACCCTAAACCCTAAAACCCTATTAAACACTGCTTTAGTTTTATAGGAGACAGGTTTTTATTAGACAGCAAAAGGGAATTAAAAACTTGTGCTGAAGCTTCAAACGCAAACCCTAAACCCTAAACCCTAAACCCTAGGTCTTCAACAGTCAGCAGCTGGTGAGGGTTTAGTGGGCCCCCTAGGCGTCTCCTGCTTCTAGGGTTTAGGGTTTAGGGTTTAGGGTTTAAGGGTTTCATAACCCCCTAAACAGAGGGCAAGGAGAAACAAAGATAGGGAGGAGACAGACGCTCTGCCTCCTGGGCTGTCTTTTCAGTCATCTCTTTCTCTTCATTTGCTGCTGCACTTTTATTTTTATCTGCTGCTGTCTCTTTGGGCTTATTTGCTGTCTCCTTTGCTTCTGCTGCACCTGCAAGCAACGAACGCAGCAGCAGCAGCCAGCAGCTAACTGCTGTCTCCTCTAGCAGCAGCAGCAGCAGCAGCAGCAAACAGGTGTCTCCTGCAGCAGCAGCATCGGCAGCAGCAGGCAGCAGCATCGGCAGCAGCAGGCAGCAGCATCGGCAGCAACAGGCAGCAGCAGCAAGCAGCAGCTGCAGCAGCAGCAGCAGCAGCAGAAGGCCTCTACTAAATGTCTATCATACCCCAGCACTTCTCTTGCTGCAGCTCTCCCCAGCCGCGTAGCTGTGCAGCCTCTGCTGCCAGTCGGCGGTACCTGCATATACACCGCAACCGCATGCAGCAGCAGCAGCAGCAGCAGCAGCAGCAGCAGCAGCAGCAGCACTAGCAGCATAAGCAGCAGCAGCATTCCCTGCTCAGTTTCTTGCACTCAGTACAACCGCAGCAGCAGCAGCAGCTGCTGCGGCTTTAGGGGGCTTCTCCTATTGACGCCCTTGATGCTGCTAAACCCTAAACCCTAAATAAACCCTAAACCCTAAACCCTAAACCCTAAACCCTAAACCCTAAACGCACTTTTGTTTTGCTTTGCTGGGAACGTTAGCCAAGTATCTGCAGAAGTAAAAAACAAAAAACAAAAATAAAATAAAAATAAAAATAAAGAGACAGATAAAGAGACAGTTGAAGAGACAGATAAAGAAAAAGATTAAGAGGCAGATAAAACCCTAAACCCTAAACCCTAAACCCTAAACCCTTTTAATGCCTGAAGACAGAAGAGATGATGAAAAAATTAAGCAACAAAACAAACAAAGACGAAAATACCCAAACCAACCCAACTGGCTTCTCTTGCTTCATCACGACATGCAGCAGCAGCAGCAGCAGCAGCAACAGCAGCAACAGCAACAGCAGCTGCAGAAGCAGCAGCAACAACAAAAGCAGCAGCACCAACAACAGCAACAGCAACAGCAGCAACAGTAACAGCAGCAGCAGCAACAACAACAACAGCAACAACAACAGCAGCAGCAGCAGCTGCAGCAGCAGCAGCTGCAGCAGCAGCAGCAGCAGCTGCAGCAGCAGCCGGCCTTACTTGAGCGACTCTACGAGGACGAGGCCCCCTGGCTTAAGGAGACAGCTGAGGAGACAGGAGGTAGCGGGGATTTCTTTTGCTTCTGTGCTAGCAGCAGCAGCAGCAGCAGGAGCAGAAGCAGCAGTAGCGGTAGGCTGCTGCTTCTGCTGCTGCTGTGTCTCCTCAGAAGCTGCTGCTGACCCCAGCAGCAGCGAAGCAGCAGCAGACCAACCCAAGACGCAGGCATCTGCTGCTCTCTCCAGTCTATCAGAGACAAACAAAGATAGTACTATTAGCAATTGTATATATATATATATATATTTATTTATTTATTTATTTATTGTTATTAATATATTTTTATTTTTTTATTATTATGATGGCTCATATAAACAAATATATATAATTGTTTAAATACATGTTTATATATATATATATATATATATTTATATTTATATATATGTATATATATATATATATGTATACATAAATATATAAACATATGTTTGTATATTTTTATATTTATATTCATATACTTACATATATATATATATATGTATATATGTATATAGAGGCGCACAAGAAAATATAAATGCATAAATAAATAAATATATAAATAAATAAATATATAAATAAATATATATATATATATAAATATATAAATATATAAATATATATATATATTTAGCAAAGCCAAGAAGAACGCAAGAAGAAAAAACAAACAAACAAACAAATAAATAAATAAATAAACAAATAAATAAATAAATAAATAAACAAAACAAAAAAACTTCTTCGCTTTCTCTCACCCCCTCAACTGGCCGACCTCTGAGGGACTGCAGAGAGTTAAATAAATTGAAAGGCCCCGCCAACCTGCACAACCCTAAACCCTAAACCCTAAACCCTAAACCCTAAACCCTAAACCCTAAACCCTAGACCGGAGATGAGAGCCCTCCTACCCTCTTTTGTTTCTTTCGGTGCCAGCCAGCAGCAGCAGCAAACAGACATCAGATGCATCACTCGGCAGCAGCAGCAACAACAGCAGCAGCAACAGCAGCAGCAACATTAGCAACAGGAGCAGCAATAGCAACAGCAGCAGCAACAACAACAGCAGCAGCAACAACAACAGCAGCAGCAACAACAGCAGCAGCAGCGAAAACTACCCTCAAACGAATTTGCAGCAGACCGCTGCTGGGCCTTCTTATCCTTTGCAGCAACATAATTGCTGCTACTGTCTTCACTGCTGCTGCTGCTGTTGCCACTGCTGCTGTCGCTGCTGCTGCTGCTATTGCTTCTGCTGCTGCTGCTCTTCGCGGTGCTGTCTTCGGGGCATTCGTCTCCTCTGCTGTCTTTACTCTGTGGCTCAGTTGCACTGCAGCTGCTGCTGCTGCTGTTGCTGCTGCTGTCTCCGCTGCTGCTGCTGTTGTTGTTGCTCTCACTGCTCCCGCTATTGGCGCTGTCTGTGCTCTCGCTGCTGCTGCTGCTGCTGCTGCTGTCAGCGTTGTTGCCCTCACAGCCCTGACTGCTGTTGCTGCTGCTGCCATCGCTGCTGCAGCTGCTGCTGCTGTTGCTGTCACTGCTGCTGCTGTTGCTGCTGCTGTTGCTGTCGCTGCTGCTGCTGTTGCTGCTGCTGTTGCTGTCGCTGCTGCTGCTGTTGCTGCTGCTGTTGTTGCATGCGTTTTCTTCCGACCCCTCTTTCTGCTGCTCGATGTCTTGTTGTTTTTGCTGCTGTCTCTCTTCAGTGTACGTCGTCATTTCAAGAAGTGTTTTATAGGGGTAGCTGCAAAGAAGAAGAAAAAGAAAAGCAGCAGACGTACTGTCTCCTGCAGCAGCTGCCTATACACCTCAACAGTAGTCAAACCCTAATCCCTAAACCCTAAACCATCGAAACCGCTGCACAAGCAACAGCAGCAGCAGCAAAAGCAGCAGCAGCAGCGAAGCAGCAGAAGCAGAAGCAGCAGAAGCAGCAGCGCTAGCAGCAGCGCTAGCAGCAGCAGCAGAAGCAGCAGCAGAAGCAGCAGCAGAAGCAGCAGCAGAAGCAGCAGCAGAAGCAGCAGCAGCAGCATATACCGATCGCGAGCAGCAGCTCCCTCCGGAATCGTAAGACGCTGCGCAAGCCACAAACTCTATTAGGCACCCTAAACCCTAAACCCTAAACCCTAAACCCTAGACTCTAAACCCTAAACCCTAGAGCGTCGACCCTAAAGGCCGAGGGGTGGCAATGCAGTTCGCAGCAGTTGCTTGCAGCAACCCCACAGCAGCAGCAGCAGCAGCAGCAGCAGCAGCAGTGCAGCAGCAGGGGAGGAGGAGTCGCAGCTGTTGCATAGAGAGAATTATCTGAGTGTGTATAATCTAACGACAATAATAATAATTTAGATATGCATTTAGATATATAATAAATATAATATATATTGTATTATTATTGTAATTGTTTTAATCATTATTATTAGCGTTATAATTATTATAAAGTATATCATTAGCGACAATTATCTGTATTTGTTTAATCGAACGACAGCAATAATATAAATGCATATAAATTCTCATACGTATAATAAAAGCTATTATAATAATTAATATATAATAATGCTTATAATTATAGACAACATAATATAATATAATATAATACTATAATTATAATTATAATTATGATTAAATAAATATATTTTTTATTCTCAGAGAATTGTCTGACTTTGTTTTGCTCCAACTGCAGCAGCACAGCGCTCAAATTAAACTCAAAAACTTCTTGCGAGTGCTGCATGCAAAATAAAATAAAAATAAAATAAAATAAAATAAAATAAAATAAAATAAAATAAAATAAAATGTACAGCGCGCAAGGAGGTGTATGCATGCATTCAGGTGTATGTATGCAGCTGTATCAGCAAAACAGCAGCAGCAAGACAGCAGCAGCAAGACAGCAGCACCAAGTCAGCAGCAGCAAGACAGCAGCACCAAGTCAGCAGCAGCAAGACAGCAGCAGCAAGACAGCAGGAGCTGCAGCAACACATACCGATCGCTACAAGACAGCAGCAGCAAGACAGCAACAGCAAGACAGCAGCAGCAGCAAGACAGCAGCAGCAGCAACAAAGCAGCAGCATACATGTCTTTGCTGTTGACTCGCAATTCGAAATGCCTCTTCTTTGAAGGGCGCATCCACGTCCACTCCTGAAAACAGCACTTGCAATCACTTGCTGCTGTTGTTGCTGCTGTTGCTGCTGTTGCTGCTGCTGCTGCTGCTGCTGCTGCTGCTGCTGCTGCTACTGCTGCTGCTGTTCGTTCTGCCGCTGCCTGCCGTTCTGCCAGTCATTTCTGTTGCTGTTGCTGTTGCTGCTGTTGTTGCTGCTGCTGCTGCGTATGTCTATAGGATTATGAGCGGAATGGTGTAGATGCAGCTGAGCTGCTGCTGCTGCTGCTGCTGCTGCTGCTGCTGCTGCACTGGGGTGTACATACACCCCAATGTTTGCTGCTGAGCTTGCTGCGCCTCACCTAAGGAGTAATAGGGGCCGCTGACGATATCACCCCAAAACCCCCTCACCTTCACACTCGTCCAGTTCTTCTTCTGAAGCAGCAGCAGCAGCAGCAGCAGCAGCAGCAACAGCAACAGCAGCAGCAGCAGCAGCAGCGGCAACACAAGCGGCAGTGGTAGTAGACAGAGCGAGACGTAGCAGCAGCAGCAGCAGCAATGCGTTGAACGCTAAACGGAACTCTAAACCCTAGACCCTAAACCCTAAACCCTAAACCCTAAAGTTTGCTGCAGCTCACGTCTTTGCCTTTAACATATGCTGCTAGGGTTTTATTTTCTTTTAGTTGAGGTGAGGCCCCCACATCAAACGCCTGGCCTGTGCAGCAGCAGCAAACTTCAGCTAACGCTTCGTCTCTGCAACCCCGCAGCTAGCTAGCTAGCTAGCTAGCTAGCTATGTAGTTGGGGGACAGACAAACTGTTTAAAAGTTGTTCGCTTTGTGTGGCTAGCTAACAAGTCTGCTAGCTCGTTAGCTAGCTAGCTAGCTAACGAGTCCGCTAGCGTGATAGGTAGCTAGCTAGCTGGCTATGTAGCTAGCTAGCTAGCCACCCAAACAGCAATCTAGCTAGCGAAAGAGCTAGCTAGCTAAACAACTACCTAGCTAAGCAACTAGCTAGCTAAACAGCTAGCTAGCTAAGCAGCTAGCCATCACACAGCGAACATTCGACACGACAGAACGTTAAGACAACAAAAGGAGTCAGCGAGAGACAGCAGCAGCAACAGAGCAGCAGCAAAGTAGCAGCAGAAACTGAGCAGCAGCAGCAACAGCAGCAGCAGCAACAGAGCAGCAGCAGCAGCAGCAGCAGCGGAGTGGGGTGTGACCTGTCATAGCAAATCGTTTATACTGTCTCCAGTGCAGCAGCGGGGCCTGCAGCAGCAACGCGAGGAGACAACAAAATATACAGCCCATAAGCAACGACACCAGAGGTGCAGCGCCACCGCTGCTGCTGCTGCTGCTGCTGCTGCTGCTGATGTTGCCAAAACAGCAGCAGCAGCAGCAGCAGCATCACGATCAGCAGCAGCACCATCACCATCACCATTACCATTACCATCAGCAGCAGCAGCAGCAGCTGCAGCTGCAGCAGCATTACCATCAGCAGCAGCAGCAGCAGCCGCAGCATTACCATCAGCAGCAGCAGCATTACCATCACCATCAGCAGCAGCAGCAGCAGCAGCAGCAGCAGCAGCAGCAGCAGCAGGTTTACGAAGGGTTGCAAGTAGCAACTATAATTCCAGTCGATGGCGTTGACTCGGTAGTCAAACTTTTCAGCGTAAAAATGACGAAGTCGCTGCTCTCGCAAATTACTCAAATTAAAATCAGCAGCTGCACGCCAGCATGCGCATGCACCTGCAGCAGCAACAGCAGCAGCAGCAGCAGCAGCAGCAGCAGCAGCAGGAGTAGTCGTATCAACATCCGCAGCAGCAGCATTAACAGCAGCAGCATCAGCAGCATCAGCAGCATCAGCATTAAGAACAGCAGCATCAGCATTAACATCAGCAGCATCAGCATTTACTGCATCAGCATTAACTGCAGCAGCAGCAGCAACAGCAACAGCAGCAGCAGCAGCAGCAGCAGCAGCAGCGGGGGCATCACTTTCAATGCGGTCTCTGTCTCTATACTTGAGGAGAGACATATCAATAATGTCGCTGAGGCCTAATAAGTACTCTCCAGATAAAAAGCTGCAGCAGCAAATAAATGCATGTGAAAAAAGAGACAGATTTTGTTTTGTCTCCTTTTGTTCATTCTTCTGTCTCCTCTAATCCTTCTCTTGTGCTGGTTTCCCTCATGCTGCTGCTGCTGCTGCTGCTGCTGCTGTTGCTGCTGCTGCTGCTGCTGATGTTGCCGCTGCTGTAAGAGAGACAAGAAGCAAGCGCACCCCTGTAGCAGCTTCGCACTGCGGTGTATGTACACCGCAGTTTGCTCCCTGACAAATGTGTTGCCGTACACCTCAAGATACAGCGCAACACGTTCTGCAGCAGCAGCAGCAGCAGCAGCATCAGCAGCAGCATCAACAGCAGCAGCATCAGCATTAACAGCAGCAGTAGGTCCTGCTGCTGTTCATCCACTGCAAACAGTCCTGCTGCTGCTGCTGCTGTTGCTGCTGCTGCTGCTGCTTCTCCAGAGCAACTCCTGCTGCTGTTGCGATTATCTGCTGCACGTGCTGCGACTGGTCACTGCTTCTTCTGCTGTTGCTGTTGCTGCTGCTGCTGTTGCTGCTGCTGCTACGTTGCTGCCTGAGTTGAGGAGACAGTTGAGTTATCGCTTACCTCGCAGAGACAAATTTGCGTCTGTTAGAATGCGCAGCAGCAGCAGCAGCCGTGCTGCACCTTCAGGTGTCTCCTCAGCTATTATAAACCTTATCTGTAGTAAAACAAAGCAGCAACAAAGACAGAGCAACAAATATAATAAACAGAAAAGAGAAAAAAAATTTTAAGAACGGAGACAGAAAGAAGTATTATACATAAAATGTTTTTATGCATTTATATATATATATATATATATATGTATATATGTTTATATATATATATATATATAAATATGTTTATATATGTGTATATGTTTAAATATGTTTATATATATAATTATAAGCATATATTCAGTATAATAGAATTAATGCGGGTTTTACTGAGCTGTCTCTTCTCTTTTTTTGTTTGCTGCACTGCCGCAGCAGCCTCAGCAGCAGCAGCAGCAACACAAGCAGCAAACAACGCTCATCTGCAGCAGCCTCAGCAGCTGCAGCAGCAGTAGCAGCAGCAGAAAACAAAGCTTCTCACCTGCTGCTGCAGCAGCCCAGCAGCAGCGCGTTGCTGCGCTGTCTTCAGCAAATGATGCAAGTCAGACATCCCTATTAATAAAAAGGTTAAAGAGGCTAAACAAACAAACAAAACAAACAAAAACAATAAACAAATGCATGCATGCATACGAAACAATGAGGGTTTAGTACGGTGTCGACTTGGAGCTTCGCTTAGGGGCTCCAGCAAATGCATGCACGCATGCATGCATATATGCATGCATGCATGCATGCATGCATGCATATGCGCATGCATGCGTTTGTATCCATGCATGCATGCATGCATGCATATGTGCATGCATGCGTTTGTATCCATGCATGCATGCATGCATGCGTTTGCATGCATGCGTTTGTATGCATGCGTTTGTATGCATGCACCATTAAGGCGAGAAAATGAGTTTTTAATAAAGACTGCATCTTTAATTTATTTTTTTATCTGCGCTGCGCTGCTGCTGTAGGTGTTGTCGCTGCTGCTTAGTACCGTACTTGCTGAGGCATCGGGGGCTGTCTCCTGTTGCTGCTGCTGCTGCTTCTCCTGCTGCTCCTCCTCCTCTTGCTGCTGTTGCTGCTGCTGTTCCTTATGCTGCTGTTCCTCTTGCTGTTGTTGTTCTTGCTGCAGTTTCTGTTCCTGCTGCTGCTCCTCCTCCTCCTCTTGCTGCTGTTGCTGCTGCTGTTCCTCTTGCTGCTGTTGCTCTTGCTGCAGTTTCTGTTCCTGCTGCTGCTGCTGCTGCTGCTGCTGCTTGTTTTGCTGCTGTTTTGCTGCTAAGCTGAGGAGGTCTAAGGCAGGAGCGAACGCCCACAGCCGCAGGAAGCCGATCCCGCTCGATGTCTCCATCTTGTTTATTTAAATAATAACTAATTATATTATATCTTCTTTATTTATTTGTTTTATTTAGCTGTCTCTGTTGTTTACTTCTCTTGCACGCCTTCTGTCTCTTCTGTGCTATTCTTATTGTAGCTAGCTGTCTCCTCAGCATTTGCTTTTTATGTCTTTGTGTCGGCCGTTATTTGATGCTGTCTCCTTTTTAAGATATGTTTCTAATAAACCCTCAAGTGCATCTGATCAGCAACGCACAATAACCTTTTTCAGGGTTTAGGGTTTTCGGTTTATGTTAAACCCTAAACCCTAAACCCTAAACCCTAAATCCTCAGCGACAAGCCAACCCCTGTCTCCTGTCTGCCTCTTAGGGTTTAGGGTTTAGGGTTTATCTTGTTCATGCATAACGTACAATTTAGAGGGTTTTGTTAATTCGCTAGCGGGGGTTAGTGTTTAGGGTTTAGGGTTTAGGGTTTTAGGGTTTAGGCGAGGCAGCGCAAGTGTCTGCTTCTTTCTTTTGTGCGTCGCTTCTGCACTTCTCTCTTTTTGTGTATTTGTCTGTCTCTCTGTCTGTCTCTTTATCTTACTTCGTTTTTGTTTTAATTATTTTTTGTACTTCTTCAGTGTTACTCTGTCTCCTTTTGCCGTCTCCTTTTGTCTTTTGTCTTTATGTGCGTCTTTCTCCCTGCCTGTCTTCCTTTTATTATATTTTTAACTGTCTCCTTTTGTCTTTGTTAGTTTTTGTTTATATCTTTTTTTGTTTCATTTTTTGTTCGTCTGTCTCCTTTTGTCTTTGTCTTTGTTTGTGCGTTTTCTCATTTGTTTATTTTGATATCTCGCGGTGTCTCTGCACCTTCATACAGTCTCCGTCTTCTTTTATTTTTTCTTTTTGTTTTCTCTTTTATTTCAATTCTATTCACTCTGTCTCCCTACACCCCACGCATGCGCGGTGAGGAGACACCAGCTCTTGCTGCTGCTGTTGCTGCTGTTGCTGCTGCTGCTGCTGCAGCTGAATGAGACAGTTAAGTCCCCGTATATATTATCCTCTTTCAATTGCATGCAAAAGAAAGCTAAAAATAAAGACAATAGAGCTTCAAAATTAAGGAACATACGCTTGGGGTGTATCCGCAGCTTGCTAGCTGCCTATACACCGCAGCATTAGTATACGATTGTAGTGTGCAGGCAGCTATAAGCTCTGTTTTTAATATTTATTATAAATTGTTTTTTAATTATTATTATTTTATATTATTTCTTTTATTTTAATTTTATAATTTTTGTTTTTTAGAAGCTTTTTTAGCAACAACGCACAGTGCTGTACACTTAACCCTCTGCGGTGTATAGGCAGCTCCCCACTTAGATGAAGACAGACAAAGATAGAAAAGGATAAAAATAAAAAGAGACAGAGACACTTCTTTCATTGATAACTCCAATCAACATGCAGGAGCTTTCATCTAGTGTAAATGCACTTAGAGGCACAAGCCTTACGCGGAGACAGCAGCAGCAGCAACAGTAGCAGCAGCAATAGCAGCAGCAGCAACAGCAGCAGCAGCAGCAGCAACGATATGCGTCATATACGAAAACTGTCTCAAGCTTTTTGTTGTCTCCACATGAGAAAAGCCCCTTACTAATAATATTAATTATTATTATTACTATTATCAATAAATAATAATATAATAACAATAAACGCGAGCTAGATTATACATTTGTCTATGGATAGACAAATAGATAGATAGACAGTTCTAGAGATGTTTATTTATTTTCAGTAATTCTTAGTCTTCGCCTTTATGTCTTCTCTTTGCAGCAGCAAGGGGGCTCTGAGTTTCCTCGCAGCTAACTGCAGCTAGCTAGCTGCCTCCAGCTAGCTGGCTGTAGCTAGCTAGTTGCTGCCCGTTGCATCGAGGCAGCTGGGGCCAGCTGGAGGCAGCTAGGTGTCTCTAGTTGTATCTAGCTAGCTGCAGCAAGCTGTAGCTAGCGGTAGCTAGCCGTAGCTAGCTGCAGCTAGCTGCAGCTAGCTGTATACAACTAGCAAAAGAGCAGCAGCAAGGCACCGAGGGAGGTTTGTCTTGACGTAGACACCAAACCCTCGACTCTAAACCCTATTGTTGTTGCAGCTGCTGCACCACAGGGTCTAGGGTTTAGGGTTTAGGGTTTAGGGTGTAGGGTTTTCTGAGTCCTCCCTGTGTGTGTGCTGCGCGTGTTGCACCTTCAGTGTATGTACAGCTGCTACTCCGCTGCTGCTGCTGCTGCTGCTGCTGCTGCTCAGCCGCACGAACACCAGCAACACCAGCAGCAGCAGTAGCAGCAGCAGCAGCAGTAGCAGCAGTAGCAGCAGCTTTAAGACTGCTGAATGGTGGATAGGAGTCTCTCTATTTCTCTTTTAACTTTTGCTGATTTTCTTCTTAGGGCCGCGATGTTTGCTTCGTGTTCTTTCGCCTCCTGCATGCATGCAGCCCCAATTGCAATAAGATAGATAAAGAGATAAAGAAAGAGACAGAAATAAAAGCTACATATTGTTATTTATTGTTTATTATTTTCATCATTCTTCTCTTTCTCTCTTTGTCTCCCTCTCTATCTCCATATCTCAACGTCTGTTTATCTTTCTATCTATATAGCTACTAACTAGCTAGCTAGCTAGCTACTAACTAGCTAGCTAGCTAGCCAGCTAGCCAGCTAGCTAGCTAGCTAGCTAGCTATAGATATGTATATATTTTCTTACTGCTTGTAGTTTTTGTTGATGCCTGTCTTTAAGTTCTTGCAGCTGCGCCTGTGCGTCTTGAATTTGTTTTTGTAGTTCTTCATTAGCAGCAGATATTTCTTTGGCCAGAGATAGTCTACTTTCTTTATTTGCTTCTGTTAATAACATCTTTCTTACGCCGAAAGCAGCAGAGGACTCATACAAACGACGATGAGTCTTTATCAATGAGCGAAGCTCCCCTCGAACGCGATTTAATAACAAACCCCGCTCCGCGCACTGTATCGTCACCTAAGTAAATATATATATATATATATATATATATATATATATGTATATATATATATATTTATATTTATATATATATGGATATATTTACATTTATTTATTTGTTTGTTCGTTTGTTTGTTTGTTTAGCTGTACTTATGTATATATGTATATATATATTTTACTTATTTATTTATTTGTTTGTTTGTTTGCTTGTTTTTTTGTTTTTTTGTTTGTTTAGCTGTAGTTATGTTGTTATAACCACTGCATTATTAAAATAAATAGGAATATAAATATATAAATATATATATATATATGTATATATATATATATATAAATATATATATATATTTATTGATATATATTATTATAAAACTGCATTAATAAATGAATATTTAGATTCGAGTATATGACTCACTATATATAAATATAATATATATAATATACATATATATATACATATATATATACATATATATATACATATACATATATATATAATATAGATATAAGTACATATACATATATATATACATATATATATACATATAAATATATATGTATATATATATACATATATATATACATATACATATATATATATATACACATATTTATTTATTTCTTACTTGGCGCAGCAGTTCATCAAAGCACTGTGAGTATAATTCTTCTCGCACAGGGCAAATGCCGTAATTTCTTGCTTTTGTTCGTCTTAATCTTTTATCTAATTCGTCTTGTAGAGTTATAACATCTGCTCTTGTTGCAGGTTGTGTGCTCACTGTCTGTGCCCACACCTGTCCTCCTTCAGACCACTCTCTAGGAGGTAATATAGAGTTTATTATATCTTCAGTAGTACATAAAGGGGGCCCCCCAGGGGCCCCCCCAGGGGCCCCCCTATGGGGACCCCCTCCAGGGGCCCCCCCAGAGGTCCCCACACCAGGGGCCCCCCTATGGGGGCCCCCCCCGTGGGCCCCCCCATGGGGCCCCCCCGCATGCGCTCCTCTATTGGGGCCCCCTATGGGGGCCCCTAGGGGCCCCCCATGGGTATTAGGGGCCCCTGGGGGCCCCACTGAAGCTGAAGCAATGCGGGTAGTCTCAGTACGTGAGGGTGCTGAAGTTTGACGGGTTGTCGCGCTCTTATTTGGTCTGCATGCAATTCTTGAAGGGCTATATCTTAGTAAAGAAGGCTGCATTTTTTAATGTAGATTTAGAAGTTAAAAGAAGAGAGATAGTTATGATGTATTGATGTTTAGCCTAATGATGATGATACTGTTGCTCGCGGTGCTGTTGCTGCTGACGATGATGCTCCTGTTGCTGCTGCTGCTGCTGCTGCTAATGATAGTCCTGTTGCTGTTGCTGCTGCTGCTGCTGCGTACGATGACCCCAGCAGCAGCAGCAGCTGCTGCTGCTGCAGAGGGACCCTGAGCTTCACTTGTTTTGGAGCAGCCTCAGCAACTTCCTTGGGTCTCCCTATTATTAAATGCCTCGATAAACCCTAAACCCTAAACCCTAAACCCTAAACCCTGAAAACCCTAAACCCTAAATCATCCTTCCTCCTTTATATCCCTCTTGCATACTCTCAAGACCTAAACCCTAAACGCTTACCAGGGCTTGCGGGTTTGCTAGCGACTACAAACCCTAAACCCTAGAACGAGTTGCGCCGGAGCCCAAACCTTAAACCCCAAACCCTAAACCCTAAACCCTAAACCCTAGAGTCTAATTCGTAGACCTAAATATTAAGATCTTCAAACCCTTGAAAAAGGAGATGTAGGCTGTCAATAGATTACCCCCCGAGTCAAACCCTAAACCCTAAACCCTCGGGCGAGGGAGCTGTAGGCCCTGGCCCCTCTCCGGCATGTTCAATGTATATACCCTTTTAAAAAAGGGTTAATATTGTTGAACAGAAAGTTTGAAGCATTTAAATAGAAATAAAAGAAGAAAATTCAAAGATATCTGCTGCCCCTTGTCCCCAAGCCTCCGGGTGTATGTACAGTGGAGGTGACCTCAGGAGCGGCACTGCAAGAAAAGTAAGAGTAATATATATTTATATTTTATATTTTATGTAGATTTAATAAGTTTTATAAATATAATAAAGGAGACAAAGACAAAAGAGACGATTGCTCTTCTTTCTGCCGGCCCTCTCCTTCAGTCTCTTTACCCCCCTCTTTATTTATTTTTCTTACAAGGGCCCTACTGCTGCTACAGATTCAGAATCTTCATCGCCTGCTGCTGCAGTTGCTGCTGCTGCAGCAGTTACTGCAGTTACTGCAGTTGCTGCTGCTTCTGCTGCAGTTGCTGCTGCTACTTCTGCTGCAGCAGCTGCTGCATTTCATGTTGCTGCAGTAGTAGTTGCTGCTGTTGCTGGTCCCACAGCAGCTACATTTCCTACAATTCCTGCAGTTACTCCTACTACTACTCCTGCTGCTGCTGCTGGTGCTGTTGCTGCTGCTGCTGCTGCTGTTTGTTTGAGGGTCTCTATTATATATCTCCCCGAGATGTCTCCTCCTCCCCCCACCGTAGAACAGATACAGTGTCTCTTACAGAGGTGCGGCTCTAGCGGTTACAGCGTCTACGATCATTTAACAGATTTAGTTGCTGCTTTAATAGCTGAACAACCTGAAGACCCTTATGCTGCCTTCGAGTCTATATCTCAATCTTTAAAGGTATTAAGAGAAAAAAAAAATAAAACAAAGTCCAGCTCCATAGAGGGGGCCCCCCAAGGGGGCCCCCCTGGGGGCCCCACAGGGGGCTCTTTAGGGGGCCCCTCAAGAGGGGGCCCCTTAGGGGGGGCCCCCTGTACCCTGAATGCAGAGAAAGCTCTAGAGCACTGGAGTAAGAGTATGAAGCATTTGCTGCAGCAGATAGCAGCACCAGGAAAGGAGTTATCTTTTTCTGTTGATTGTACAGATTTTTTTGACGAAAATAGATTAATGTGTTGGGCGGGTTGTGGGTTTAATGATAAAGAGGCATTTAAAATATATTGCTGTCTTAAGCAGCTTGCTGCTTCAATCCCAGGTGTATCTTCTGTAAGATATTGGGGTAAGATATTAGCTAAAGATGAAGATTATATAATTGCAGAGACACGCTTTGAAGGAGAAGAGCCTGAAGGAGAGACAGCAACTGAAGAAGAGACAGCAATGGATAAGAGAGGGACAGGAGTTAATACTTATACATACTTTGCTCTTCAAGGAGACAGTAACAAGTGGAGGCTGCTGCCTGATGCTTTACCCTCTCACTTAGAGACAGCAAGAAAAATTAAAAAGATTTTATCAGGAGATTTAAATAAACAAGTTGTTACATTTCCTTGGTTTGCAGGGAGAGAGAGACATTTGCTGAGAGCTTTAATTGCTCTTATATCATCGGAGACAATACTCTGCCCATCAGGGTGGCTACAAGCTATGGAGGAGGGATCGGGATCCGATCCCCAGGGAGACGATCCCGAGTTCGAGTTCCCCACAAACGCACAGACACTTGCAAGTGTGGGGTCCTGGTGTCACTACAGGCCCTATATAACTAAGTCGGGCCTTACGGTGTATCCTGAGGTTGATGAAGAAGATGAAGAAGCAAAGCAGCTTCAAGAAACAATTGAAGAAGAACCTATATTAGAATTAGGCAGGTCAATCACTGAAGACAGCCCACTACCAAATGGTAGCCCTGCGTGGTGTATACGCACCTCAGGAGACACCTCAACATATAAGGAGACATATAATAATGCTGTGGTGTCTGTGCATTCTTGTCTTTGGCCGGGTGCTGTTACTATATATCATAAGAAAACCTTCTTCTCTATTTATAATGGCTGGGGCCTACTAGCAGGAGCCCCTCCTTTCTTTCCTTTTACACCTAATGATGTTCAAGCTGATCTAGTAGATTTAAACGAGCAGTTAGAGCCTCAGCCTGGCGACGAAGAGTTATCCGATGGTGCAAGTCATGATGAAGAAGAGACAGAAAAACAAAAAGATGATGAAGATGAAGAAGAAGAAGAGACAGAAGAAGAGACACAAGAACAACAACAAGATGAAGATGAAGCAGCATAAAAATCAAGCTGCAACGGCTTTTTTTTTATTTATGCATGCGCTGGACACAAAATAAAACAGATTATATATACAAAAAAATGTTAAACAATATTTATCAACATAAACAAAACAATATACACCTATATAAATAATAAATAATAAATAGTTTATTCATATAAACAAACTAAAATAAACAAAAATAATAAATAATAAACTCAACTAAACTAGAATTATTATAAACAGTCATATAAACAATAAACTCCTCTGAACTATAAACTAATATAAACAATAAACAAAAACAAATAACAAAAAAAGATAAACAATAAATCAATATAAACAGTAAATAGTAAATAATAAATAATAAACAAATATAAATAATAAACAAATATAAATAAACAAAAAAAGTGTTTCTTTCATTCAGTTTTGTAGACAGCCAACCCGAGGCAAAAAAAACAAAAAACCAGCAGCAGCAGCAGCAATAACAGCTGCTTCTGCTGCAGCAGTAGCAGCAGCAGCAGCATAGCGCTGCTACTACTAATGCCTCAACTGAGAACATTCAGCGTGCAGCAGCACCGCTTACAGAGGAGCCACCAAAATAAGGTGTCTCCTTTTGTCTCCTTTCTATTTAAGAGACAGACAAAAGCTGTATATATAGGGACAGACAGGCACACACGCTGCATCTGCTGCTGCTGCTGCATCTGCTGCTGCTGCTGCATCTGCTGCTGCTGCTGCTGCTGCATCTGCTGCTGCTGCTGCTGTTGCATCTGCTGCTCGTGTATTTGCTGCTGCTGCACGAGCTTCTGTTGGATATGGTGCTGCTGCACTTGCTGCTGTTTGATCTGCATTTACTGCTGCTGTATGCGCTGCTGTATTTTTGCTGCTTCTACTGCTGCTGCCTGTGCTGCTTCCTTTGCTGCTGCTGCTGCTGTCTTTGCTGCTGCTTTTGCTGCTCCCCACAGCAGCCAACTTCGATGGGTTTAGCTACAGTCTGAGACTCAAACCCTAAACACCACGTACCCTATACTCTATTTAGGGTTTAGGGTTTAGGGTTTAGGGCTTAGATTTGAAGGGGTGGGGTTCACGGTTTAGACGACGGGTTAAGGGTCTAGGGTCTAGGGTTTAGGGTTTAGTGTTGAGGGATCAACAATAATACAAGTAAAAATAGTAATAATATTAATAATAATGATAGCAAAAAAACAAAAACAGCAGAAGCAGCAAGAACAATTGACATATCAACACAGCAGTACCAACTGCAGCAACAGCAGCAACACCAGCAGCAGCAGCAGCAACAACAGCAGCAGCAGCAACAAACATAAGAACAAGGTAATAGCAGCAGCAAGAGCAGCAGCGACCTGCGAGAGAAGGCAAAGAAAATACATAATATAATATGCGGAGCAGCATAGGAAGAGGCGGCTTCACACATTTATTAAAAACAACAAATTAAACTTAAAAAAATAAAGAAAAGTTTATTTGGGGTATCTCCTAAAGTGTCTCCTAAATGCGGTGTATATGCAGTTTGTTTGTCTCCTTTGTTACTGCTTTGCGATTGTTAAATAAATAAATAAATAAATACATAAATAAATATTTATTTATTAAATAAATAAAAGAAAGATTGTTTAATTGAAATATGTTTATTCTTTTTTATTATACCCCTACCTATTATTATTGACTTATTATTATTGTTATTATATTATAATAATAATATAATTTTATTATTGTATATTATTAATAACAACGAGAGTAATAATAATATTATAATTATTATTTTGTGTTTATAAATAATTATAATTTGCTGTTGTTATTTCTTCTCCCACTCACTCAATAAAAAATAAAAATAATAAATATAATATATATAAATATAATATATATAAATAAATATATATATATATTGATTCTATAAGGAGAAGAAGAAGAGACAGCAGTGTGCAGCGAGGAGACACACAAGGAGACACCAGGAGACAGCTGCTGCTGCTACGACAGGCTGCAGCCCCGCTTATGTTAAGTAAGGCCCTTCTGTCTATACACCTGAGCTCCTCTCAACTGCATGAATAGCCTTTATTGTTTTGTTTTTCTATTTTATAATAATAGCTGCTTGCTTTGAGGTGTACATACACCGCAGCAGCAAGCAATCACCGCTACAGCTGAGGTGGTGCGCGAGTATGCGCCGCTTCTTTATTTAGAGTTTATAAATGTTTTTAGTTGCATATATAATAAAATAAATAAAATTAATTAAATAAAAATAAAGCTTGAGCAAACAACAGCCTCTAGAGGCCCTATACTACAGTCAGTGGGGGGAAGGAGAAAGGAGACAGGAGACACCAGCAACAAAACCTCGTATAAAAGGGGACAGTAGTTAGTTGCTAATGCAAGAGAACAGCTTACAAATTAATAGCAGCAACAGCAGCAGCAGTAGCAGCAACATCAGCAGCAGCAGCAGCGACAACAACAAGGAGACACTCAGGGTCACCGGGGACAGCAGCAGCTGTCTCCTTTCTTGAGTGGGCCTGCGACTGTCTCCTTTCTTCTTCTTTTTCTCTGTCTCCTTTACCTTATTCACTCGTTTTAACTGCATGCATGCATCAGCTGTCTCCTCACCCCTTTGCGGTAGGAGGCCCTGAGGCCGCCACGGCCCCAGCTGCTGCTACAGCCCCAGGTGTCTCCTTTGGGGTGTACAAGTGTCTCCTTTGGGGCGTATAGGAGTCTCCTTTAAAGTGTATAGAGACAAAAGAAAAGAGAGAAGAGGAGACAGAAGAAGAAACGGCAGAGGAGACACAAGAGGAGACAGAAGAGGAGACAGTACAGGGGGCAACTGTCTCCTTTGGGGTGTATAAGCGTCTCCTTTGAGGTGTATAAGTGTCTCCTTACTGCGCTTCCCCCGGCAGGACCATGGGGGCCCCCCCATCCCTGTCTCTGCTGCTATTGTGTCTGTGTCTCCTTCGTTTTGCAGCAGCTGCTGCTGCTGCGACTGCTCCACTCGATACAAATGTAAGAGACAGCGCCGGGGCCGAGGCAGGGAAGAGCCTGAGGGGGACCCCTCGGCCTCTTGTCTCCTCTGATGTCCCTTCTTCTGTCTCCTCTACTGTCTCTTCTACTGTCTCTTCTACTGTCTCTTCTTCTGTCTCCTCGGGTTTACCTTCTTCTTCTTCGTTGAAGTCTGAGGCTGTCCTTCGTGAGTCTCCTGCTGCTGTGGAGCAGCAGCTGCAGTCGGAGACACCTGCTGCAGCTATCTCTTCTCCGCAGCAGCTGCTGCTGCACCCCACAAGCACCAACAGCACTCCTTTTCTCTCTGCTGGTCTCACGCTGCAGCAGCAGCAGCAGCAGCTGCTGCTGCTACGCCGTCTCTTCAGCCCTTCATGCCCTGTTCACTGGGGGCCCTTAGCCTCAGCATCTCTGGGCAACGCGCAGCAGCAGGAGACACCCGACGCTGCCTCCTCTCCCCTCCCTACCCCCAACACCAGCAGCAGCAGCAGCAGCAGCAACAGCAGCAGCAGCAGCAGCAGCAGCAGCAGCAGTGGTAATTGGCAGCGGCCCCACCGCCTTCGCATGCATGCATCTCCCCCTCTGCTGATCCCAGGTGTACATACAGCTATTTATGCAGAGGTTGTTGATGATAAAGGACGTATTATCCCTACAGACTGCGGCTCGGTGTCTCTTCAGCTAGTGGATGAAGCTGCCTTGAGCCCCCCAGCAGCAGCAGCAGCAGCAGCAGCAGCAGCAGCAGACGGTACAAGCGCAGCAGCAGATGCTCTGGTGCTGGGGCTTGGACACCAGCTGCTGCAAGGAGGGCGAGCTGTATGGAAGCTGCATCTCTCTTCAGGTGTCTCCTTACCTAATTTCTTTGTCTTTGAGGCCTTCCCTCGGCTCTGTAGAGTTTCTGCTGCTGCCTCAGCAGCATCAGAGACAGTTCAGCATGAGGGTTTGCTGCTGGAGCAGGAGCTGCTGCTGTCCTCTCAACTGCTACTGCCCGTAGCAGCAGCAGCAAACGAAGAGCTGTCTCCTCTGCATTCGGAGACAGCCGCTTTTCTAAGACAGCAAAAGAGACAGGAGACAGCTGAAGGAGACACTGCACCTCTCCTCAGCCCCGAGTCTCTTATTGCTTCTGTTCGTCTACTTGGGGCTTCACTAGCAGAAAATAACAGTGAAGGAGACAAACAGAGACAGAAACAGAGACAGAGAGAGGAAGGGACAGCAGCAGCCTCGGGGGAGAGCATAAAGAACGAGGAGACAGCGGAGACAGCAGCTGTCTCCTTGGAGTTTGCTCCTTATACACCTGCAGTGACAGCAGAGAAGCCTCGTTATATATACTTCGTGCGGCTGTCTAAGCAGCCAACTGTCCCTGTCTCCTTATCTATATCTCCCCAGCTGCAGAAGGGAGCAGCACAACCAAGAAAGGAGACACCAGAAGAGCAGCAGCAACAGCAGCAGCAGCAGCACCCGGAGCTGCTACTCTTTATCAGGGGACAGCAGCAAGCTGCAGGCGACACTTGGATCTTCACCCCGCAGCAGTGGCAACAGTTTGTTGCAGTCGAGATAGAGATGTCTCCTGCAGCAGCAGCTGCTGCTGCTGCTGCAGTTGCTGAAGGAGGTCCTCCCTTCGAGCTGCGCGTAGCGCATGAGCTGTCTCCTTCCCCACTTGCTGCTGCTGCTACAGAACCATCAGCAGAAAAAGAAGCAGCAGCAGCAGCAGCTGCTGCTGCTGCTGTCCCCTCAGCTGAAAGTGTCTCTCTTTTGTCTCCTCCTACAGTATCTGTACACTGCCGCGTACACACCTACAGCGACGACGCAGAGGAGGAGGCTCTGTGGGGGCCCCCCAGGGGGGCCCCCAAGGGGCCCCCAAGAGGGGCCTCCAGGGGGCCCCCAAGGGGGCTCCCGAAGGTCCCCTCGAGGCCCTTGTCAGTGCGGTGCCGCCTGCAGCTAAGTGCAGCAGTTGAGGGTGCTGTAGCTGTTGGAGTGAGAGCAGGAAGGGCATTACGTTTACTGTCTCCTTCTCCAGGTACGGAGTTGCTGCTGCATGCAGCAGAACAGGGGGACAATCGTCTCCTTCTCTTGCAGCCAAAGGGGAAAGGCACCAAAGGAGACACCCAATTATCTCAGCAGCAGCAGCAACAGCAGCAGCAGCGGCGGCTGCAACGAAGGGGCGGGGAGACAGAAGGAGACGGAGACAGCGGGATGCTTGAAGGAGAGACAGATGTAGTTGTTGCGCTGCTGCAACCTGAAGCAACAGGCTGCAGAGACACCGCATGCACTCTCAGCTTTCACTTAGGCCCCCGTGATGAGCGTAAAGGAGGAGACATAAGGCTGCTACCTGCTGGGGGGACAGTAGCTGTCTTCCCCCCTACAGAGCGCTGGGGGTCTCGCGCTGCCTCTGCAGACGCCACAACAGCAGCAGCAGCAGCAGCAGCAGCAGCAGCAGAGGAGACAGTAGAGGAGACAGCCCCTCTTTCTGTGGAGGTGGTGAGGGCTTGGGTATTGATGCCAGCGAGTGAAGCACAAGTAGATGTGCTGCTTACAGGGGGGAGACAAGGAGAAGCAGCAGAGTTGCTGCAGCATTGCTTCGAGGCGCGCTGTGAGAGAACAGACAAATACCCCGTTGCTGCTACCGTTCGCTGCAGTGTCTCCGAACTGCAGCAGCAGCAGCAGCAGCAGCAGCAGCAGCAGCAGCAGCGTGTCTCCGCAGGAGACACTGGAGCAGCAATAACTGCAAAGTTGTTTATTAAGCTGCAGCCAGCTGTCTCTTCAGACTGCCGTCTTCTTCTAAAAGAGGGAAAGGTTGTTGGTTCTATTCAGGTAGCAGCAACAACAAAAATATCTTGTGGAGACAGCTATTATTACAGCAGAGACACTGCAACTTGTCTCCCTTGTCCTCAAGGATTTGTCTGTTCTATGGGGAGGCTGTTTCGATGCAGCAGCAGCACTGATAGCCCCTGCACACTCTGTCCAGAAGGAGAAGAGTAAGCCCCTAAACAAACCCCAAACCCTAAACCCTAAACCCTAAACCCTAAAACCTACAAGAATCTCACACAGCCAATCAACCGTATTCACTAAACCCTAACAGCCCACCCAAGCAATAAACCCTAAACCCTAAACCCTAATACCTGAAAGCCCACCCAAGCAATAAACCCTAAACCCTAAACCATGCAGGGCGTATCAAACAGCAAACCCTGAACTCTAATTATAAACTGTGCAGGCCTGCTCTCAAACCCTAAACCCTAACTGCTAACCCTTAAGCCCCAGCCTGGTGTCTCTGTGTCTCCTCTGTCTTCTGTTTGGTGTCTCTTTGTCTCTTTTTTCAGGTGCATAGGGAACAACTTCCGCTTAATGGATGCATACGGCAGCACTCCCGCGTGGGGCTGCGCGCAGTGTCTCCCCGCACCCCCAACAGCAGCAGCAGCAGCAACGTCCCAGCAGGTAGAAGCAAACAAGCGACGAAACAGCACGTACGATCCGAATCCTGCTGCTGCTGCTGCTGCTGCTGGCTCTGTGGTTGCTGCTGCTGCGGCGACTGCCGCTGCTGCTTTTGCTGCTGTGGCTGCTGATGCTGTGGCTTCTGTTGCTGCTGCAACGGCAGTGGCCGCAGCAGCAGCAACCGCAGAAACAACAGCAGCAGCAGCAGGATTCGGATCTGTCGCTGCTGCTGCTCTGCAGCAGCATGTACATAGCTTAGGGTATTGTTTATGTCTCCAGTGTAGTTAGCTGTTATTGTGTATGTGGGAGTGTCTCCTTCTCGTGAATGTTTGTGTTTATTATGGTTACTGTTTGTTTGTGTTTGTTTTTATTGTCTTTAATCTCTTTTCTTCTTCAGACGAGGAGCTCCTTGCCCAAGGGGTTCTTACCTTCTTGATGGTGCATGCAGAGGCTGTCCCTTAGGGCATGCATGCAACGGAGACACCGCAATTGCATGCAAAAAAGGAGAGCTCGGCACAACACCGAACACTTTCAGGGCTTCCTGTGAAAAGTGCCCAGAGGGGCATCTCTGTCCCCATCCAGCCAAGGCCCCCATTGCCTGTCCCTCAGGTACTCACACGCAGCAGCAGCAGCAGCAGCAGCAGCAGCAGAAGCAGTACAGGTAGCAGCAGTTGTTGTTGTTTTAATAGCCTGGGTTCTTTAGTATCAGCTGCTCTTGTCTACTCATGTTTTTTCTTAGGGTTTATTCTTTTGTGTTGCGTTTACTTCGAGTGTCTCCTTTCCCCTTTAAAAGTGTCTCCTTAACTCCCAGCTGTATATAAACATCAAAGTGCATGCAACCACCTGCTGCGTCTCCCTCTAAAGAGACTCATCTTAATTATTATATATTCATTCTTTGCTGCTGCTGCTGGGCCTCCGTCTGCATGCAAAAGACAAACAAACGAACAAATAGCCTGGATCCACGTGAAAAGACAGGAGGTATATTTTGGGACTGCATGCATGCTTAGCTGCATGCATTTTGTGCATGCATGCACGCATGCACTGGTGTATGCATTTGTATGAGTGCATGCACTTATGTGAGTGCATGCAATTGTATGAGTGCATGCATTTGTTCAGGACTGGTGGATGATGCTGGGTCTTGCCGTCCTTGCCCTGGGGGATATTCTTGTTCTGGAGGTGTCTTGACAGCTTGCGAGCGTTATTATTATTATTCATTGCCTGGTGACTTGCGGTGTCGTGCATGCCCTCTGGGATCGGAGTGTATCGATCCCAGCGGGCCCCCCTCTGCGTGTGGGGAGGGTGAAGCATTGTTGGAGACAGAAAAAGAAGGACAGAAAGAGAGACGCTGCGGGCCTTGTCCTGAACATAGTTATTGTCCTTCTCCTTTATTAGTTCTTCCTCTCTCTGAAGGACATCAAAGAGACACTCAAAATGCTGCTTTTCAGCTTCCTCTTGATATTTGTCATACAAATGCTACAGACCCCAAATGCCCCCAAGGGGGCATCTGCTGGGCTGGTAGATTCTTCCCCTGTCCAGAGTAAGCACCACACACCTTTAGCTAGCTAGCTAGCTAGCTAGTTAGTTATTTAGCTGATCAAGGGGGCATCTGCTAAGCTGGCAGGTTCTTCCCATGTCCAGAGTAAGCAGAACATGCACTTAGGCAGGTAGCTACGTAGCTAGCTAGTTAGATATCTGGCTAGCTAGCTAGTTGGCTTGACATCTAGCTGGCTAGATAGCTAGTTAGCTCACTTGCTGGTTGGATAGCGGGCTAGCTATCTAGCTAGCCGGCAAGCTGGTTGGCGAGCTAGCCAGCTGGACAGCTAGCTGGCTAGTTAGCTAGGTAGATAGCTATATAGGAGAGATAGGCAGATAGGCACATAGACAGCCAGCGAGGTAGACAGCTAGCTAGTCAGCTAGCTAGCTAGCGAGATGTAGAGATTAGACAGATATACAGATAGAGAGACAGATGCCCAGCCAGTCAGCTGTAAGAAGTATTAATACAAGTAGTAATAATAATAATTAATAAGAAGAGATAATCATATTAGTAGTTGTTGCCGTTATAAGTAAAAGGTGACAGCACTATCTTTGTAAGAAGTAATAATAGAATTAGTGGTTGTCTCATTAAATAAGAAGTAATAATAATACTGCATATAATATATATATAATAATAATATATATATATATATATTGGTTGATGTCTTACGAACTAAGAAGTAATAATAGTACTTGTCTCATTAAATAAGAAGTAATAATACTTTTGCTATTTTTCTAGCTAATAAGGTAATAATAATAAACGTATTTGTATATAAAACAAAGCATTAATAAAAGTATTGATAGTTGTCTCTTAAAGAACAAGAAGAAAGTAAAGAAACAGCACACTATTTATATATATATATATATATTTATTTATTTATTTGTTTTATTTAGGGGTCAACGAGTTAGCGAGAAAGCCAATACAGACACCCGCTGTCATAACTTTGCAGAAAAATGCGAAGACATTCCGATGAAGAAGGAGACAAAGCCTGAAAAATACAAAAAACAGGTATTTAAGAAGTAATAATTATATTAAAGAGACAGTTAACTCACTTGTAGCCCCTCAGGGCAACACCAACGCTGGGCCTTCACATGGGGGGCTTAGAAGGTTGAATCGTTAGCGATAAGGAGGGTTTAGGGTTTAGGGTTGAGGGTTTAGGGTTTAGGGTTTAGAGTCTAGGGGTTACGGTTTAGGGGCTAGGGTTTCGAGTGCAGGATTTATGGTTTAGGGTTTATTTAGGGTTTAGGGTTTAGAGTCTAGGGGTTACGGTTTAGGGGCTAGGGATGCGAGTGCAGGATTTATGGTTTAGGGTTTAGGGTTTAGGGTTTAATAATGTTATTACTTCTCTCCCTGTCTGTTTTGACTTGTACTTGCATATAATATAAGATAGTGCCCTTAGGGGGATTATTGTTTATTGTATATTGCTTATTGTATTTTATTTATTATTTATAAACGTTTTGTTGTTTATAGTTTATTGTCTATTATTTATTGTTCGTAGTTTATTGTTCATGCTAGTTTACGGTATATTGTTTATTGTTTATTGCTTATTGTCTATTGTCAATTGTCTATTGTTTATAGTTTGTTGTTTATTGTTTATTTTTCTATCAGTTTATTGCTTGCTGCATACAGCTCATTCCTAGTGTATTATTCATAAAAGGCTCGAGTTCATAGTAAACAGTACAAAAACTACAATGCATAGTATTGATACAATAATATATTTATGACAATAATAATAATAATAACAACAACAACAACAACAATAATAATAATAATAATAATGATATGTTGTATGCTTCTACAATAATATATTTATAGCAACAACAACAACAACAACAAAAATAATAATAATAATAATAATAATAATAATAATATTTAGTATGTTTCTTTGTTTGTTATACCCATCGAAGGCAATATCATTTCGAGACAAGTTGCCTTTACAAGATCGGCTGGTGTATAAGCAAGTAGGGGATTTCTATGACTGGGATGAAGCATATCAACTTAGTAGTACAGATTATTATGAAAAGGTTGACTGTACAGACACCTCAGTTATGATGTGTGAAGGGCCTATAGAGTGGCCCCGACCAGGATTCAAAGCCCCCGAATATAATACTAATATTGTTCCTATCTGTAGCAATAACCTCGGCATCTGCGAAAGCGTATGTTCACCCTAAACCCTAAACCCTAAACCCTAAACCCTAATCCTATCCCTAGACACTAAACCCTAATCCTATGCAAAAACACCTGAACCCTAAACTCTTAACCCCAAAACCCTATGCCCTAACCCATGCAGCAATTCTCTTCTATAAATCCTAAACACTCACAACAAACCCTAAACCCTAAACCCTAAACCCCTAAGCATTAAACTCTAGTCCCGCCAGCTTACAACGAAACCCGAAAAAGAAACAAGAGAATATGCAACTCGTAATCAAAATAAATGTGTCTCCTTCTTCTTTTTGTCTCCTCTTCAGGGCGCATACAATGAGAGACCTTGTCCCCCTGGTTATTATGCAGACCAAACAAAGCCCCAAACATCAATGGTGAGGCATTATCTTCTTGCTATGTGTCGCGTTAAAGAAATAAAAGTGCATGCAGCAGGCTGCTGCGCCTCCTGCTGCAGCAGCGACAGCAGGAGGCTGCTGCGGCTGCTGCAGCAGGAGCCTGCTGCGGCAGACACCGGAAGGCCTTCTCTGCCCAGAAAGAGCTTCTGTCCCCTCCCTAGAGTTTATCTCTATTTTAAGGTGTATGTACAGTGGGATAACTCTTGCTGCAGGAGTGCAGCAGCTGCAGGGACTGTCTCTTTCGCTGTAGAGATTGTCTCCTCAGCTGCATATACTGTCTCCATCGCTGCACTGTCTCTGTAGCTGCAGCGGCCGTGTCTCGGCTAGCTGCTTACAATACTGTTTGCGTAGCAGCGGGCAGTTTGTCTCTTTGTTTATTTGTAGCAGCAGATATCTTGTCTCCTTTTCACCTGCAGCAGGAGACAGTTTTCTTCTCCTGCTTCATTTGCTGCAGCAGA